CTGTGGGGCACATATTGTGCTTTGAAAATATTTTTCAATTATATATTTTCTGATACAGTTTCACATGGGCTACAGTATTCTACGAGTGAAATTTTATCATAATTTGATTAAAACGTGATTACGATAAAAAAACTGCAAAACTATGCATTCTAGTAGTATGATTTTCTGATGAAAAGCCTTATGTAGTATTCAAATTTTTCTCGGCCATTTTAAGTGCCAGTCTTAACTTTTTTATAGTCAAAATGATCAGCAAAAAACGCTCTACAAACGCTGAAAGTTTGACACGATTTGAAGATACTTTTGTATTTCGTGGTTGGATTCCCACCGAATCACCCCTATGTGCATATGTAAGTTGAAGTGTAACAATTGATGATGACGTTTAATTAATCGATCTGAGATCTTGCACTGTTACTTGAGCTCGATGATCTGTTGTAGTATGCTGTACCATATATGTTTTGTCAGTGAGCTTATTGATAATTATGTACGGGCCAATAAATTTGGAAGAGAATTTATTACTAGACGAATCACGATTACGATCATATCGTTGTTTAGCTATATGTTGATGTTTAAGGGTATTGTGTCGAGCTGCAATTTTGACATGTTCGATAAATTGTTTCATTGTGTCATGATTATGTTGAACGTCCGTTGGAATGATAAGATCCGAAGCTAGATCAGCTATAAACCGAGGAGCACGAGCGAACATTAATTCAAATGGTGTATAACTAGTGGAAGCATGCTGAGTTGCATTATAATTAAATGTTGTGGGTAATAAGTTTTCATCCCAACGGGACCGAGAATGATTAGAGAGTGCAACTAGATTAGGGACTAATGTAGCATTATGACGTTCACATTGACCATTAGCTTGTGGATTGTAAGGTGTAGTTTTTGCGGGACAACAATCAGCTAATTTGAGTAAGGATTTATATAATGATGATGTGAAGTGGCGACCATTATCTGTGATAATTTCTGATGGAACACCATAGATCATAAATACATCATATAATAAAAATCGAGCAGCTGTTGTTGAAGTATTATCATAAACGGCTTTGGTTACAACGAATTTTGAAAAAAGATCTGTAAGGACAATAAAATATTTCTTACCAGACTTAGATTGAGGTGCAGGTCCGACATAATCCATAGCTAGACGCTCCCACACACCACGAGGGGGTTCAATTGATTGCAAATGACCATCTGGTTTACGGCGAGAAGGTTCATTTTTCCAACAATTGAGACAAGATAAAATATGTTTTTCAATATCTTTGTACATATTCGGTCAATAAAAACGATCACGGATCTTATAGAAAGTTCATTTAATACCAAAATGAGCCCCATTAAATGTTGAGTTTTGATAAGTTAATAGAACATTAGGAATTAACGAAGCATGTAAATAACGAAGGTTAATCAAGGGGGAAAAAGCTGATTCTATGGTGATAGAATCACTCAGAATCACCTGGAATCACTTGGAATCACATACAATAAAACACCTAAAAAATGCATGCCTATGCTTCTTATCAAGCTGAATCGAACACATTTCATCACTTAGCAGCAGTTAATAAGATTTTTGCCGGTTTTTACCAAGTAGTAGAATTAATTTCATCATTTTACAACAAAGAAGCAAATTTTGTTAAGCCCGTGTATATTTTCTTCAGAAGCATACACGTGTGTAAGTTCAAATCGAGGCTTTTTGCAACTTTTCCTTGGTTCTAGCAATGGCGAGTGAGAAGAGGAGGAGAAAGTCAAAAATTATTTGGTAGGTTTCTATAGTAACGAGAAAAGGCGTGTAAGCTTTAATGATGGTTATATCATTCTGAAACTCTGTACACTCTAGCTACGTAGTCTAGATATGGCAGGTTTTGTTATTTAATGCAGAGAAAGAGTGTTCTTGTAGGTATCATTCAGTAGGTCGATGCTATTATTCATCTAATAGAGTGAGAATAGGATGAGCACGTAAAATTATGAAATAATTGAATTCCAAGTTTAGAAAAAACTCAACATTATATCTCACAATTTGTCAAAAGATATAATAGTGTACCAGATTCTCCTTGAATGATCAAATCAATGTATATATCAAACTAATATGGTAGTTGAGCAGACGATTGAAAGAATAAAATGATATGTGCACTTCATACAACATGTGTCGTGCATATTATCATTAGAACAAAAGAATCGAGGGATTGACGATGTACTTTATTTCACATTAGAATAAGCTT